CAACTCCCAGGTTGCAGCTCACTCGACGGGGCCCGGCCATATTTTCAAGTTTAATGATGCTGAAATCCTCACAAGAGGTGACAACCGAGTGAGCCACGAGCTGTTCGAGTCATGGTTTTCAAGGCCCAGTCCATCAACAAGCGCAACGATTTGCGTACTGAGGCATTGTCTGAACAAGAGAATCAGTCACGTGGGAAGGGCCGGACGCAGCAACAACTCTGACGACAGCAAGCATAATTGTCGCGAAATTGCCAAGCCCGCATCCGACACCGACAAGGAAATCACGGCAATTAATGAGTCGAACGCGAACTGTCAAACCACTACCTCAAATGTTGGCTATAGGAGCTGATAATTACTGTACGCACGCGGGTGACAGCTACGAACTATAAACAGCGTACAATCTGTGCATGTGTCACGCCTGTGATTCAGACTATCCCACGATTACCTATGATTAAGGATTCTCGACAGAATCCGAAACGTCAGGAAAATAAAACTCTTGTTCCAGTGACCGCATCTCCTTCTTCTGAATGTCTCCTGCTGCGGATTGCGTCATGGAACGCACCTCTTCGCTGCTACTGTCGTCTGCGAACTTGCGAATGCACAGCAATGGACGGGAAGGTTTAACGCGTTTTCGCCTAAGCCAACTGTGTATTGTTCTTTTTTCATTCGACAGCAGGCTACGTCTCAGCCTGCATGTAGTGAAGCGTGCATGAGTCACATCAAGGTAAGCGTACGATACGTCGTGGATGACTCAGCATTAGCATTTAAGACTCTCTAAGGAAACCGTACTCAACTTCAACAAAACACATTAGCCTTGATCGAAAAGGTCGACCACCAACAGGCTATTTACAGATTAGTCATAAGTTTTAAAGGACATTTTCAGCTTTTCTCTAACACAGGCGACAGGATAATTTGGCAGATTTGAATACAGTTAAGGCTCAGGTGACGAGCAGCTCCATTTACGCGTACTTCAGGTAACGAGCGAACCACTCGATTGACGAGATTCCGTTCAACTAACGAGTTGTCAGCGCGCGTGTGTGCCTGCGTCCGTCGGTGAGTCAGCACGCGTCTTCGACCG